ACAAACTTTCTAACAGGGTGATGCAAAGATAGAATGTGATCACTCTTGCAGTAATAAGCTTCCAATTATTGAATATACATAATCATGGGCTGGATGACCACTTTCCAATATATAATAAGAGAGATGAACTGAAATCAGTGGGCTTCAAGTTGGTTTTTAATAGCAGAATCACTGCACTGGAAGAAACCTTACCCAGAAGATCAATATACTAAACAGATAAAGAAAACTGCTGTAGTTGAAATTCTCTGGCACATATCACACTCAACTCATCTGATTTATCAGATGATATCTGGTTCATATTTGATTAGTAAAACTATAATGCCTCAAGGTTTATTACTTTAGATGGTCCAAATGAAGGTCTCCCAAATGGAGTAGGAGATGATTGATTGGGGACATGGAGAAAATTACATACACACACACACACACGTTCAATTTTCAAGAGATTTAATGTCAATTTGAGCCATGACCAACTATAGTCTCTAGATGCTAAAATATTTTAAAAACAACTTTAAAATAATGCTTTTTGGGGAAAGCATTTTTTTGGGGGAAAAAATTCAACACCCATACCCACTAATTTAACACAATAGCTTTAATTTTTGTATATTTCTATCTAGTTCCTAGTCATATGCAAATATACATTTTCGTATAGTAACCAACATGGCCATAAAGATTTTAAAATTTTCTCCAGGATGGCTATTTCCACAAAAGTCTGTAAGTTTCATAATAATTGGTTTCTTATGGCTATATTAAAAAATGGAGACTTCACAATGTAGTCAAACAATTTCCTACTGTTGATCGTTCAGATAGACTCTCCTTTGTTATAAAATTCTACTACTGTATAATTTGTTATTACACATATTATGTGATTCTTCTCTGTACATGGTAGCTTTTTTCCCTTCTACTAGGTTTATCCTGAAGTTAAAATCTCTAGAGTGGAAGTAGTGAACTAAAAAGTCTAAACTCTAATGGCTCTTGCTGTACTATAATGCTTTCAGTCACTACCTGAACTTTAAACACAACACAGAAAAAGAGTACTTGAAACAGCTACAAAAACAGTTTCCTTGGTGATAATGTTATCAAGCTTAATAGATGTACTATATTTACCATTTTGAAGAAATATTTTGCAGTAGTTCCCTGTATTAGTCAGACTTTTTTGGAAAGGTTGGAGAATATATTCCCAGAATAACCACAATATGATTTTATGCCACAATTTAACAATGTATTTAAAATTTAACAAGACCTAAATATCTGAAAGCTACTAAATAGTTTTGGCTATCAATAGCAATTGATGAAAACCCAAAGCTCATTTAATGATAATATAGTCAGTATGATCATGGTTAATGGCACCTTTGTCAACCTGCTTTCTTCTTCTACTTTTACCTCACCTACTTTTGAATTAAGCTTTACTTCCAGGTCAACATAATTTCAGAAAACTCCATTCTTATTTAAGCCAGTTATAAGTAACATAAAGAGTGTCTCAGGCAGTCATCTAGGAGCCTAAATGTTCTGATGACCTTGCTCTAAATACACTTGACAGAACCTGAATTGCAATGATGCTGAACAAGAGTAGGAATGGTATTTCAAGAGATCAGATGATAATTTCAGAGTTACGTTTCTCTTTTGAACTTGTATTTTGGTGATCTAAAACTATTTTTAGATGACTAGGAGGCACATTCTCAGGCTTCTGAAAACAGGTTATAATTCTATTTCGTTGATATGGTTTTGTCATAAACTAAATGAACACTATCTCTAAAATACAATTTTGAAGCATGTTCTCCATTACAGTGACTTAAATCAAGTAAGCCAACCAATTTAGTTACTTAGAGATTCATAATATAATTGATTCACCCCAGGGCACATTGGAGTATATTACTGTTGTGATGTAGTTTGGGTAGGTGATTAGGAATTCTTTGAAAATTTAAAAACAAATATTTCCAGGTTCAGATATTCAAGCTTAATACTTATTTCTTTGAATCCTGGAGCACACCCAACAATGCTTTGTGAGGAAAGCTTCGGTCATGTCTGTAGGCAGTCCCTCACTCTGCCTGTGTGGAGATATGGTGTCCATTTATCCACGAGAGGAGATTTTTTTTGTCATAAGAAGATGAATGTAACTATCTTTTTCATCATAAGAAGATGGATGCCTTCCACATGGCTGCTTGAAACAAACAGATAAAATGTCTGGATCTGTCCTTACTTGGCAATAACAGTAATAAAAATAGTAACAACAGTTTCTTTTCACTGATGGCCTACCATGTGACCAGACGAAGTGCCAAGCACTTTGAACACTTTATATCTTTTCTCACAGTTCTGTGTAGTGGATCTTTATTATTCCTGCTTTATGAATAAGGAAACTGAAGCCAGGAGAAACAAAGGACATATATATTTTAGTGTCTTACTAAAGAGTATAACACACACTGTTAAATACTTATTTAAAATGTACATAAATATTTAAACACAAGAAGCCATAAGGCCATACAGTCTATCACTTGGTCTAACCAGCATTTCCTGAGTTATATATGGTGAAATACTTAGCCTTCATCACCATGGCCCCATAGAAAACTGCTTTTCTTTATACTGTGGTGTTATGTTGTGGAGTACACTGAGAGGAACTTAAAAAAACAGTATCCACTTGAAACTCACTATTACATGTATTGCTGGAATGGTGATGGGAAGTTCATTTACAATGTTTCTTTCAGTACCAAATCTGAGGCCCCTAAAGGAGGACTACTTCTCAAACAAACAGCAGGGCTAGAAACACTTTGATTTTCCTAAGCCACCAGTGTGCTTTTTAACTAATGAACAATGGAAAATTTTAACAGATAACATTTCTTTATCTACTTTAGACAGTATGAAGCTCAGAGCTCAAACCCTTTTTGGTAACTATTAAGGTACTCAAAGCATGCATTTCTCTAAGCTAATTTTAGCTCTGGCCTCAGCTAACTATTCCTTTATTAACTTACTCATACCCCAATTTACTTCAACTTGTAAACTCTCAGTGTCAAAGTCCAATGTCAGTTTCCATTTTTATGATGAAATCTGATGTCAGTAGCTACAAGAATATACATTTAGCAATGAAATATTTTTTGGTAACTGCTGTAACCTGTATAAAATAATATGAAAATCAAGTTACACTAGGCTTCTACTAGGCAGACAATTCAGCCAAAAAAGTGAGTCGCAATCATTAACTAGTTTGGTATCTTATATTAATAAAATTATGTTTAATTGCCAAAACTTTATCAATCATAATAGTCACTTTTATACACAGTGTAAAGCAATTTTAATATAACTCCTGGAAACTAGCTCAAAAAGTAAACGAGTTTGTTAGTTCAGGGTTATGGCCTACTTCATGTTGTGAACAATCAATGTAATCAAAACCAGGCCAGTGATGTATTAAGTTTATTAATAGTCCATCTAAGTAATTTGTCTTCATTCTAAGTAGACATATTTTTTTTTAAAGAAAAAAAAACTATGTTTTTACTTTTTTGTGAGTTGGAGTCTCACTGTTGTCCAGGCTGGAGTGAAGTGGCATGCTCTAGGCCACCACAGCCTTGATCTGCTAGGCTCAGGTGATCCTTCCGCCTCAGCTTTCCAAGTATTTGGAACCACAGGTTCGTGCCAACATGCCTGGCTAATTTTTTGATTTATTGTAGAGACGAGGTCTCACCAGGTTGCCCAGGCTGGTCTTGAACCACTGGACATAAGCAATCCTCTCGCCTCTGTCTCTCAAAGTGCTGGGGTTACAGGTATGAGCCACTGTGCCTGGCTGTACTTACATTAAAAAATTTTAAAGCACACTTTAGAACATATTTGATTTTTACAAAGTTACTTTAGGACTGCATTGCCACTCCATTTTACAGATTGAGAAAATGAGTAAGACACCAATAATATCAATAAAGTTCAAATGACTTTCTCAAGGTAGCATGTTATAATGAGCCAGGAACTTTCAGATTTTTCCTGAAAGGAAGGTAGGACTTCAACTAGAATGAAATGTGTTAAATCTTTATTATCAATGTTTTAAAAAAAGATTAGACAGAAACAAACAAGACTGTATCAGAAAACAGAAGATAAGATTTTGACCTTTTCTATTGTGTGCTAAGAACTAGTAATGGTAATAAAAGCTTTTTCCTCCTGCAGTATAGATGACCTTAGGCAAAAATAGATCTGATCCAATTCAGTTCAAGATGCGTTAGGAAAATAAGTCAGCTTCTGCCATTTGCTTTGTTGGAGGGGGGAAAAAGGTACCAAATTCTGAGCCCCTAATTTTGCTACCTGTCATGTCTATAGCTTCATTGTAAAAAGCAACCAGACATTATTTGAAAAAATTCAGTTCATTCAAGGGTTGGGTATTTTCAGAATATCTGTAAGGACAGTGATTCTCACTAAATCAGGCCCCACTGTTAGTTGGCTTCAGCCTCAGCAGCACAGCATAGATCTAACACCTAAAGGGCTTTTTTTTTTTTTTTGGGTAGATGACAGTCTAGTCACATTCTGATCTATATCTTAGTTATATGTATTTGCACTGCAGTTTTAGCCCTTTCAAAAGATTAATAATAATACCCACCTATAATTTATACTTCGAGAAAGTGTGCCTCTCTAGTACACTACTATAATTTACATTTGGGGTGTGGCTCTTCAATAAGTATCTATATAATAATTTGTATAGGTTGTTTTCTGCTATAAGCATCTTATTTGATTTGGTTTCTCATTGAAATTATATGGAAAACATGATTTTAAAAATAACAACTAAGGTGATAGAATTTAACATTTTAAGAAATTATTTACACCTTATATATAAAGCACTTATGGGATGCTTTTGTTTTGTGCTATTTGGAAACAAAGCAATATTTTATTCATACTTATTCATTTGATTATGCTATGTTTTTAATACTTGAAAGGTATTAAATGTTTATACTCATTAAATGAAATGAAATGGAGGTAAATCATATCTTTTTAAAAAACAGAATATGTTTTTATAGAAGAGACTTAGGTGTTCTCACCTGAGGCTGCTGTGGCATTTGTGGGGGTTGAAGCAGCTGCTTGAATCCGAGCATGAGGAGGAATAAGAATGGTAGCCAGAGGTGGATTACTTGACAGTTCTAGAGAAGACACAAGTGTTAGAGCCCACACTTAACTCTGAACGCAAAATGATTTTACTAGTAACAATAAACATAATGTAGTGCATTAAAATACTAGTTTAACAGAAAAAAACCCATAATAAACCTAAAAACCTATATCTCAAACGAACCAAATGAACTAGTAATCAACTATAGAAAAAGCCCACAGAAATGTTGTGATACATAACAAAGGCATTATCTGCTAAAATTAAGATGTTTTGGAACTAAAGATATCTTGGGGAAAGGTAGTGACCAAAGTTTTAGAGTAAGCATACTAATGAGGTATGAGTATATTTCCATCTTTCACTGACTTAAATATATTAAGCTTTCCTGTCTGACTCTGGCAGTATTTAACTACAGGAATTGAGAGCAGTCATGTCACAACAAATAGAATATGAATGCTGTCAGTGTGTGTCTGTATGTACTGTATATACAACTGGTTGTACAGACCAACTTACCCAAATTGTTCATGAGCCAATGGCAGACAAGACCTATCTAGACACTAGTGAAAAAAGGATTTAAGAAATGTGTTTAAAGTATCATGCTTTTATTAAAAATTAGAATGTCTTTATCCAATTCTATTTCTTAAAATCAGTAAGACTGTTACTTTTTAAGTTTTAATTAGGCTTTTTACCTACATGTGGGAAGGTTATCTCTGTCAACTGTATACAGATTAGTTTTCTTTAAAGAATCAAGTTCTGTGTAGGAGCCATACGAAATTATTTTAAGATGATACTGGATCTACTAATATAGACAACAAGCAGTGGTGGTGAGCTTGTATATAAAAGGATCTGTTGTCAGCTTTAGGTAATATGTCTCTTGCCCTAGATTGCTGGGATAACCCTGTTTATTCTTGTTACTTCAGCATTTCACCTAAGAGTACTCATTTTCACTCTAGTGCCACAGTTTGAAGAAACAATTATAGCCATACTACCTATAGAAAGACATTATTCTCTAAGCTACAGTATACATTTTGACAATTTACAGATAAGGGATGAACTTTTAAAAATTGGGAAATCACTTTTTAAAAAAATTAAGATAAAATTCACATAAAAGTAACCATTTAAGAGTGTACAATTCAGTGGCATTTAGTAAATTCACAATGCTGTACAAACATCACCTCTATCTAATTTCAAAACACTGTCATCACCTCAAAGGGAAACCCCAAACCCATTAAACAGTCACTCCCCATTACACTTTCCCTCCAAGCTCCTATGCAAGAGAAATATGATTTGAATGCAGTAATTTAAAAATGTTTCTAGTGCTAAGGCCCTGCCAATATCAATTTACTCAAATTAGTACCTAAATATCTAAATTTGGCACCAATTTAGATACTAAATGATACCATATTCTGGTAAAGAAAAACAATAAACTGATCCTAAGATTTAGGAAAAATGAATGGGAATAAACTGAGAGAAGACTATTAATTTCTTTTCCCCTTAAAAGAGAAATAAGTATAGCTCGTCAAATGAGAGTTTTCTCTGCTAAGATAGCTGGAAAACCACTGCCCTAATTATCAGGTTCTAAGAAATACTGTTTTCTTACAATCAGATTTAGTTGCTGTATTGGTTCTCATTGAGGAACAGAAAGATCTTATGCCATTGTATTCAAGTCGTCCACCCCCACAAAATATACTTAGGAAAGTAAGATAATTCCTGGTAATTGCTATGGCTGAAGACTTTATGGTTCGAGGAATTTAAGAAAAGTATTAATGCAGTATGTGGAAGAAATTCAGATTTACCACACTAATTAAAATTAAAATCTCTGAAAATGGAAAGGCTTCTTTAAAATCTGTCTACCTGCCCACGCACATATCCATTCACTTAACAATACTGAACATGAAACAGTATGTTAGATACCAGGAAAGAGCAATAAAAAGATAATTATCCTTATCTGATCAACAAAAATTGAAATGGACAATTGAACAAACTGGCAAGAAAGGCAGTCAACCTACTAGGTTAGGGGCACTTTCAAATGAAAAGATCTCTATGATTATGTGCCCAACATAGAAAAGAAAACCTAAAACAGAAAAAGATAACAACAGATTTTAATATAAGACATTTGACAAAACTACTATTAAAACAATCTTTTAAATAAACTGAGCATCAATGGTCTGTGGTCCCTTTCCTTACAGCCCATACTGCCCATTTTCTCCTATGCATTTACTTTCCCTTACCAGATCACCTATCCTTCTGTGTGTCTGCCATGCACAGCTGAAGGCCACAGCAATTTTGTGTTTTAATCTGGATAAGGGTATATAGATGTACAGTCAGTTGTTCCATGGTATTCTGGGGGAACTGGTTCCAGGATTCCTCTTAATCATCAAAATCTGAGGATGTTCAAAAGTCCCTTACCTAAAATGGCATAGTATTTGCATATAACCTATGCACATCCTCCTATATACTTTAAGACATATCCAGATTACCTATAACACCTAATATAATGTAAATGCTATATAGATAGATATCATATTGAATTGGTTTTCATTTGTATTATATTTTATTATTCTTTATTTTTTTGAATAGGAGTCTCACTCCAGTTTCAAGCTGGAGTGCAGTGGCACGCTCATGGCCACCACAGCCTCGACCTGCTGGGCTCAGGCAATCCTTTCACCTCAGTCTTCCAAGTAGCTGAAACTACAGGCACATACCACCACACCCAGCTAACTTTTTGGTTTATTGTAGAGAAAAGGTTTTGCCAAGTTGCCCAGGTTGGTCTTGACCCTGGGCTCAGGCAATCCTCTCCCCTTTGTCGCCCAAAGTGCTGGGATTACAGGTGCGAGCCACTACGCCCGGCTGTATTGTTCTTTTTTATTATTAGTTTTCCCCCCAGAATATTTTAATATGTGATTGGCTGAATTCAGGAATGTGAAACCCATAGATATGGAGGCAGGCTGTAAAGGCACATAAAGGGGAAGGACTTGAAACAAAGCAACACTCTTTTTCCTTGGGTAGTAGAATGTCATTCTGGCCTTGGATAGGGAGAGAGGGGTAAATAAAGAAGGGAAAGAAAGAAAAGAGTGAAGAAAAAAAGAAGACAAGAAAAGAAGCAGCTCTGGGATCCTGAAGGCTTTGCCATACCCATAGACGTGAGAGTGGGAGGGGCTGGGTCTGGGTGGAGAGGGAAACTTTGTGAACTTTTTGTTAGGGTTAGGGTTAGGATTAGGGACAAAGTGATTTGAAGTACACAGTAGTAATTGTTGGAAGTGAAAAATAAACCATTTTGTACTAGTTGTGACAACCCCATAAAAGTGCCCACAGTCTGTCCCCATGAAGGTATAGATTTGTAATGGCTTTGACTTGTAATGGCTTTGCCATACCCAGCAACCTCGCATTCTTGCTATAGTCCTATTCTTGCCATTACAATTTCTATAAGCCACTGTTCTCTTTCTCTACCTAAATTGTAGAGAACAAATTGCAATTGTTCTCCACCTCAGAGAGGATGTTAACTGTCACAGCTTTCCCCTGTGAAATGAGGCAGCATCCTCGCATTCTTGCTATAGTCCTATTCTTGCCATTACAAGGCCACTAGTTGTCACAACTAGTACAAAATGGTTTATTTTTCACTCCCAACAATTACTACTACTTATTTCAAATCACTTTGTTCATCCATGGCTATGAGTAATCAGGAAATGGGGTCAGTGAGTGTGAATACAAACTTCAGTGAAGAATGCAAAAACTGGTGGCATTTTGGAAGACAGAAACAACAAAGCAATAGTACTTGTCAGAATCAGGGAGAATGTATGTATACTTGAAGGCAAAGATTGAAATGAAGAAGTAAGCGATTATATAGTTATTAAATATGTGTGCTAAGCTAGAGAGTAGTGAAATTAAAAAAGGGAAGAAAAAGGTCCATGATAAAGTAGGGCTGACTTTGGAGAAGTGAGAATAAACTGAAAGATAGGGAGGATAAGAGATAAATTGTACAAGAGACATGGTTCAAAACAAAATGGCAAGAGGTTCTAGAAAACTTTAGAAAAATTAATGAATGATACAAATTTTTTCAATCAGTTGCAGATGTCATTAAAACAATTCATTAAAAAAACTCCATAGCAGTTTATTAGGGAAAATTACAAGTGTTTTAATGGTCTATGAAACAATTGTGCTCTATAATCAAACAGTTTAAGGCAGAATTTAAACAAAAGAAAAATGAGTTTTAAATAGATTAATTAAGATAGATATCAATCAACTAACAGGTTAACTAATCTCATTTAACTAAATTTTGCTGCATTGTTGTTTTATACTATATAGTAGTACAGAAGAAAAATTCCCAAGAGAAGACAAACTGAATAAACTCAACCATAACTGATGAGGTAATCTTTTAAAATGGAAAAACAAAACCTAAATCTAGTTGGTAAAACTTGAAGTTTCTATTCTTCCAAGTACAAGATTCTCCAATTCACTACTAAGATGGGGCAGGTAAGAATTTCACTACTTTGGGGGTGGGGGGCAGAGGGAGTGGTAATATATGTTTGCTCAAGCTGTGAACCAGAGGGAAGAAATCAACCCCTTCATTCACTAGACCTATTCTCACACTGATGTAATAAAATACTACCAGTCATTAGATAAAAGAGAATCTTCTTCCTTGGTTAGCTTTGAAGAGTTCACCCTGCAAATACCCAGAAAGGGATCACTAAGAAAGGTAGACTTTTTCTTCTATAAGTAGTTTGAACTCTTACATGTATGCCAGACCTCTTATGTTTATAGAGTAATCACCTGTGGTTGTCTACGTAGTTAAAACTGCTATTTGTCTCTATTCACAAAAAGGTTTAAATTACTTAACAATGGGATGCTCATCACTTGTGTATTTTTATTTTTTTGAGTAGTAATTCAAATACTAGGATGGTGCCCCTTGATCTCACACATTACCAAATTCTAATGTTGTTTATTTGTATGTACTTATTTTTTAGATGAGTTAAGCAACACCACCCACAACTGCTTCTCTCCTTGGTAACAATTTCAAAGTGCCCAGGAAATTCCTGA